ATATATATATATATAGGGGGGTGTGTGTGTATATGTGAATGTGAATGTAAATTGATCTGCTTGTGCAGGTCGGTTCTTGCTTGTGGAAGAGCAGAGCACCCAATGCCTTCGGCCCTCTGCGGCGGTGTCATTAGCATCTGTGGGCCTGAGCAATTGGCCCCCAGCATGGAGGAAACACAAAGCGGTGGCTGTTAGGGTCTAGGGTTTAAGGTTTCGGGGTTGAGGGTAGCGCTTTCGGCACTTAAGCCCTTCGGGTGCGTAGCTTTAGGGCAAGCCTGTCTTGCGCCGCTTCCTTCGGTTCGCACGCAAGCGCCCTGGCCTACATTCTTTAAGCACCTCTCGTCACAGGAGTGTCTGGTGATGCTTGAAGGCCATTTCTCTGTGTCCCACAAATCGGAGGATCGGTGCTGCCCTGCCTCTGCCCCTGTGCGCTGAGCCAAGCCGGCCGAGTTGGCTACACAGAAGAAGCAGAGTCCTGCACAACCCTGACTCAAAACAGTGCAGGCCAAGGCAACGGGTGCGAGGCCGCCAAAGCCCGCCGCATTGACGCCATACAACTTTCTTCGAAAGACTTCAAAGACAACTGATATCCGGAAGCATCAGAGATTAGGCGATTAGGCCCCCAGCGATCCGTCTTCAAGCGGGCATTTGGAGATGTCCAGCCTCGTGAGTTCAATTTTCCGCCCCTGCATGTTGCGATAGCCTCGGACCATGTAGACCTTCTCCTTCGGAGCTTTTAGGACAGCATAGTCACGGTCCGTGAATTCAGGGCCGTCGCTGGGCCCAGCTCTGGGATCCGCAGCGACTGCACCGTGGGGGATGAAGACGTTGTTGAGAAGCGAAGTTCCTAACACCACTCCACAGCATCCTCGAAGTTCGTGATGGGGCTTGCTTCCATGGAATATCCTCGCAGGTTTTAAGAGGCGGATGAAGCGGCTCGGTGACGTGGTGTCTCCGGGCAGACCGAAAAGGTTCCAGCCGTGGCCGATCGGACACGGGACGGTGCCCACCGTGTCGTTTGTCTTGACCTGCAGCATGTCGTTTTGACACGGACAGCTGGGGCTCAAGTGCACTTGCATGTTCAAGTTCCTCCAGTGCCATTGGATGTCTGGGCCGTTGGTCATCACTCTTGGACCGTGCTCATGAACCATGCGCTTGCCCTGGATGTATTCCACAATTACTGAACGGCCAGATTCGTCATGGATCGCCCAATGCAAGGTAGTGGTCTTGAGCACCACCTCCGTAACACCCGGTACGAAAGGAGTCAGGACGCTCACCGCTTCGATCGAGCATTGTCAAGACTTCATCGACGGATGAGTAGTTTGCCAGGACTGCCGAGACGAACTCTAGGGCACTGATCGCATGCTTTCCTGGTTGCGGCTTCATAAACCGACTGTGCCAAATAGAGAGCCGTGACTGTCGAACCTGCCTCATTCATGCCCTCGAAAGGGAATTGCAGGGGCTGGTACGACGGTGGGAAACGGAAGATCTTCATTGGCGCAACCCAGCCGTATTTCTTCCCGCCGCCTCTTGGGAATGCTTCGAACCATGGAGCTTTGGGACTTGTCCAACCAAGTACAGCATTGATTCATTGCTGTGTCTGGTTGTGTTGTACAAGTCCCAAAGCTCCACGGTTCGTGGGATGAGATGGGATGTCTTTCCGCTGTCGGGATATGGAATCTCCACGTAGCTGCATGCCCACGAAACGGGCAGCAGCCCGAATAAGCGGAGAGCGTCATCATGCCAGCAGCGTTCGTCACCAGCGCAGCAAGGGGGGTTTTGTCGCAGGTCTGGGCGTGGGCCAGAGCTTTCGCACAACCACATCCTTGCAACTCCGTGCAACGCCACGCTGATCAACACAATTTTGAAGTGTTTGAGTCTGTGTGTGTGTACTGTGAACTATGTCGCCCCGTTCTCGGAGTGCGACCCCAGTTACATGTGCAACGGCGCGGATTTTTCTCGAGATAGGACGTGGAAGTGGGGATTAGAATGGGGAAAACTGCAGCTGAACCGGATGCTTTTGCGTTTGAACATCGCCTGTGTGCTGCGACGTCCTCTCAGCGACTTTTGTTCAACACCAATGCAACACCTTGCTCCAAGAGCCGTTCCAAAGACTGCGGCTTCTGTCTACCACCTTAAACCTTAACAGGGACCATCAGGAACCGAATCCTCGGCTCAGCACCACAGGACAACTGCTCAACATCCTTGAAGAACCTTTTCTCTCACTCTGAAACCACAACTGTCAAAGATGGGACTTCCGGCTTCCGGCTGCGCCGCCATCGTCCAGCGCCCTGGATGCCTTCCGAGCCCCACTCTGTCTGTACCTAGTTTGGGTGTCTTGGCTCCGGCAGAGGGCCTCCTCCTCCATCGACTGAGAGGTCGGGAGTGTCGTAGACTGAGAGGTCGGGCATGTCGTACGCCACCGGAGTTTCTTGTGGCAGCGCGGCAGCTGCGCCTTGCCAACATCATAAAAGGCTTGCTGCCAAGGAATGCAGGGAAGGGACACTGCCTGCTGGCGGGTCCCAGAATGGCTCCTCCTGTACATGAGCAGGAGCTCGCTCGGGTGCAAAGCCTCAGCAAAACGCAAGCGCTTCCCAACAGCCCATGGCCCATTCACGGCCCATGGCCATGCAAGGCTCAGGTTCCGGCTCGCTCTCTGCTGCGGAGCGAGCGGGAGCGCGCCCCAGAAGCCGTCGTCGTCGTCGTCGTGGGCGGGCCTGTAAACGAAACACGCTCCGTTTCTTCTGGCCGACTCGGGGACCCCTCCACGGGGCCCGCACGCAGGCGCCGCCAATTCCAAGCCCGGCGGCCTGGCGAAGTACCGAAGAACCTAAGAACCTGCCCACCCTCTCTGCGCCCTTGGAAACCACAAGCTTCCGAGGAGACCACTCAAGCCGCGGCGGTCTCCAGGCTTCCCAGGCTTCCGATTCCGGAAGAAAGGGCCTCAATCTCGCAGCAGGCCTTCGCCGCGCAAATCCCTACAAGCCCTCGAGCCTTGCCAGTGGTCCAGCATCCGAAGCAAAGCCTGCCCAAGGCTCGGATATATACATACGCATGCATGTGTATGTATGTATATATATATATATATTATATATATATTATATATTATATATATATATCCACACACAAACATGTATATCATCGCTACAGCAACTCTGCGTTCTATGACCCTGGCAATCATTGATGATATTCTTACGGGGATCGTTCTCATCACAGCAGCCAGGTAGTCAATGCTTTTGGCAAGCACCCCAACGCCTCTTACATATCATGAATTGCAACAACACCAGCGAAAGTCCGGAGTCCTGCCCAACCCAACCCTGAAAAGCCCTAAGACCCCAATCCTCTCTCTACAGTTAAACCGTCCTGAACGTCTCAGAGCCCTTTATCCAAACCCTATAAAACCCTGAACCCCAATGGTCTCCTAAATGCGAGCTGGGGCCTGGAGGTGGCGCTTTGAAAAGCGGCTGCGGGATTATCGCCGCCGCGGCCCACCTCTGCTTTCCCCGGTGCCGGGGCGGGGGGCGGGGTGAAACACTGAATGTTACACATCCAGGTGCCTATCTGTTTCAGGTATCACTTGCATGTTTCCATGCCTGATGCTCAAGGTTCTAGCAGAGTACGATCTACAGCTGTGCGCCTGTAGTAAAAG